AATAGTTTGTGTAGGAGTAATTAAAGTAAGCTTTAAGGACAAGATTTATGAACAAAATATTCTAACAAACGTTTATCAATTATTTAATAGTTTATATAAATTTCTCTTTTATTAACTTATATCTAATAACATCACTATAATCATTATTGTTGTTTATTGTTCTAATCATCATTTACATATGTATATAGGAATTGTAAAAGAAAAATTTTAGCACTTGACGATCTTCAAAAATCATATGGCTGTAAAAATTTTATTGACTTGCACTATACCTTCGAAACTACCCTTTAACAATAAACCAAATGTCGAAGAAATTAGTCTAATAAATTAAATTGTGCTACTTGAAGATGTATTTAAAGGGTTGATTTTCGACTTGCTCAAAGGACAACTCTCTTTCTAACTCTTCTCTTGACCATATCTCTTGATATAACTTCAAAACAACCTTGATATAACATAACAATAAATGAAATGATTGTCAATGAAGTAAACATGACCAATTTAAGAGACAAATTACTCAAAATGATTTTTTTGAATGTTCTAATAAATTTTCCATTGTTACCACATCATCCTGTTGTTGGTTAAACATTACCCAAAGTTTAATTTGGTCGTTTTCTTACGTTAAATATCACATTATGGAATAATTAATAATTAATTGACAAAATGTAACACAAATACAAATACAAATAATAATTAATAATAATGTCTTTATTTTTATTTTTTTAAAAAAAAATTACAACTAATGTATTTAATATAATAGCAACACTAAAATGAAATGCTATGAGCCATTCCCTGAAGAAAGTCCATAAGTGGTCTATTAGCACGGTCATTGAACACTGTCCGAATTCGTGCTTCACGTTCACGGTCCTGTTTTTTTTGTAAGGGTTGTGGTATTCCTCATAAAATTGATTCTACATCAAGCTCAACTCGATTTTGTTCTTTTTGCAATTCCTTTATGATTTTGTAAACACCTAAATGTGCAGTACCTACTAAGGCACCCCATCTTTGATGCCAAGCCTCTACAAAATTTTGAGTTCGTGGAAATGCATAATTGATATTATCAACGACTGACCAGAAGTCAGGTGGAAATAATGGTGGTGCTCGAATTGCATTCCCATGTCTTAATGTGTGTCTTGTTCTACCATGCACATAGTAATCTTTGAACCATTCTACGATTTTGTTAGCCTCTGGAGGAATATCATCCTTTAATTGATCAAATGCTGCAGGAATGTCGTCAGGAGGCAAGAAAGCAAGTGCAGAAATGTGTCTAATTTTTAAACTTAAATTTTTGTCAGTCCCATATTGAACACTAAGTCCAGAAGCTTGTACTTTCCGGTAAATGCTCTGAGCCAAATGAAATAAACATCCCTTGTTTTGGACACCTTGAAATTCTCTACGAGCAGCATTGATGGCTGCTTGTTCGAAATCAGTTAAAATAAATTGTGGCTGGAGAAGAACACCATTTTCATCACCAAAGTCAACCAATCCCTGAAACAAATTCCTATAACATTCTTCCGATTTTCTGGACATTAGTGCATAGACAAGTGGCATTATTTGTGAATTTTCATCTCTACCAACACGTCCATGAATTGAATATAACTGTCTAAATATATTTGGAACTGTTTTAAATGTTCCATCCATAATCCAGAAAGGGGATTGTTCCAGATATTGGACATTAGCAATGGTTGTAAAGAGCAATATTCTATCTTGATCCAGGTCAATATCTTTAACCAAAAAGTCTGATCCACTTAGAGTCTTTGTCAAATCTTCAGGAACAATAAGTTCATTTAAAGATTCTGGCTCTACAGGAAGATCAGAGCTCCTAATTCGATTAATTGTTTGACGAAGTGCATCACGAGATGGAAGGTATGGATGCGTTTTGTGAGAGATATTAGCAGTTGTGGTTTGAATAATTTGTGCAGGTGGTTCATTAGTCTCTTTTCCTCTCTCTTTTAAAGTATTAACGGTTCTTATAACATTGACTCAGCTTGCCTCCGCAGCATGATTATGATCTGTAACTTTTTGGAGATGATGTTGTCCTTCAATGAATGTGGTAACTGCTTGGCCTTTACATTGTAATGCATCATATTTTTCACAACGCTAGTAATAAGAGTTGCCACGATTTTTATTTTTGCGCATAATAAAACCATGAATATTAATTTTGTCTTGACCACGATTAGAAAAAACAATTTCATAAACAGTATTATTCATTTTTAAAAAAGGTAGTAAAATATATGTGATATGATTATGATAAAGTTATTATGATAAAGTTATTATGATAAAGTTATTATGATAGTTATTATTATCAAATTAAGAAAATTTTATTCTGATGTCTTTGCGAATTATAGTTATATTTATAATGAAAAAATTGTCATGTAGACCCATACTCTTTCTGGGTATCAAGTGGTTGGTAACAATAATTAATTGTTGATTTTAAAATTTTTTAAAACCCATCTTTGTACAAAGTAGGTTTTCGCCAAATTCCTTTAATATTACAAATTAAAAGATGTGCAAAAATTTTGGAAAAAAGAAACACATTTCTAATTGTTTAATAAATCAGATATATTGTATACTCTTTCGAGTTAGCAAGTGATTGGTAACAATAATTAATTGTTGATTTTAAAATTTTTAAAACCCATCTTTGTACAAAGTAGGTTTTCGCCAAATTACAAATTTTAAAAGATGCGCAAAAATTTTGGAAAAAAGTACAAACACATTTCTGTTTAATAAATCAGATATATTTTATATTCTTTCGAGTTAGCAAGTGATCGGTAACAATAAACAATTCGATTTTAAAATTTTTTAAAATTGTCAAATCTAAAAAAATAAACAAAAAAAAAATTTTTATTATTATTGTTTTTTTAAAAAACAAGTTTATAGAGCATGGATAGTTATGATGCTAGCCAAAAATCGACAAAAATAAAAAGTATTTATTTATTTATTTATTTAACACGATATTATTATTAAAGTATACTTTTGTAATTAAAGCACAAAATTCGTCTGATAGCTAGTGCCAAAAATAAAAAAATAAAGGAAAAAATCATTTTTTTAATTTTGTGTTGCACGCGACATACAATTTTTATTATGTCTACTCAATTATCACATGACAACATAATTCCGAAAAAATGTCTACCCTATCTATAACAGGCTTTTCTATGGCAAAACTCCACCACAACAAACTTCTCTTTTACTATTATTAATTTCTCTCGATAATGAACATTACTATAGAGAGTAAACTATTGAAAAAGCTAATTAATATAAAAAAAGAATTTAGTTGAAAATCAGCCCGACTATAAGTGTCATATCGGAGCAAAATGTAGTGATGTTAAAGAAATTCAACTCCATCAGTCACTTTTTTGTATAAACAAATTATCCTGGACCACAAATACTAGTATAGACTAATTCTAAACTGCTAGAATAATCTATAAAATCAAACCCATAAATTTCAGACAACTGTTCCATTGCCACACGCGTCTACATCATTAGGATCAGAAAATCAAAATCAATTCTTAAATGACAACTCCAAAAAGATCAAGAAGCCAAAAACAATAAAATACCTGGAAAAATGGTAAACAAGATAGAATATTTATAACCATGGTGATCAAACAATTTTTTGGCCAAAAAAAAATTGCAATGACTTTCTCCAAAACGGTCATGCCAACACTGATTTATAATACGCATAAAGACATGATGCAAGTATTGTTGGTGGAAAATTTATTCAATACACAAGCATACATTATTTATATTTTAGTTATATTGCCGAAAGAATTACAGTAACAACATGAACTTGAACAGTGAATATTATTAAAGCTAAATTATAATAATATTTTGAAATAAAACTTTTTGTTTTTTTTTTAAAAAATGATGTTGCAAGGTGACCTTTCGGTTAACGCTGATTATTTAATGCGTTTACAGGTTAACTTTGGGCTACTCTTGTCAATTAATACAGTAATTCGATGCTAATCAATTAATTAGTTTATGCATTTATTTTGGTTCTCGCTTACTGCCTCTTCTTGTATCTAGAAGCTTCGGCGAATCTGTAAACACGCTTAATGATGATGTCAGAAGATAACTGCAAATAAATAATGATGGCTTCTATAAAGTTCACTTATTCATTTATGGTCATTATATTTCAGTCGTTTACCCTTGATTATATTTATTGACTGATTGCAAACTCGCTTTGATTATTTACAAAGCAACTTTGGCAAGCTTGTTTGACAGCCTTATGTTTACAATTACAATAACACCATTACTAGTAATATTTCCAATTAACCTTTGGACAATGCTCACTAGTTAACCAACATCAGTATTAAATCTTTGTTTACTCACTAAAACAAATTTACGTTATTAGTCGTTGTTTAACTAAAAATGTCAATATAATAATAAAAATAGGGAACCAAGCAAAAATTCGTCGAAGCGAAAATTCGTTGAAACGAAGTTCATTGAAATATAGGGTTGACTGTATATATGGATAACTTAAGCTTAACAAGATATCGCTTCTAATTGATTGATGATTTTTGTTATTTATATCGAAATTTTCTAAAAGAATAGTTGTATTTGATGAATTTCTTGGTTTTTGCTTTCGTTTTACAACTGAGAGAGGGTAGATGAATTTGTTCAAAAGAGAACACAAAACAGCTAGCGAAAAATTACAGTAGTAGTAAGGAATGATTATTGGATTTGGTATACTGTTTGCACAATTTGTGGTTTTTTTCTTTAGATCAATATATTGCATACTAAAGATGAAGCTGTTATTCAGGCGCTTGATTAAAAATTGTGGTCATAAAGCTTAGTTTGTCGTTGTTTACAATAGTTCTTTAAGTATTGTTTAATGCTATTACTTTATTTGTTGTAAAATAAAATTAGAAAGATAATGATCATAAACCCACCAATCCAGAAGTCATATATATAAATTCTGTTTATTTTATTTAACAGAGATATAAAGTTATTATAATACAAAAAAAAAGAAATTTTATACACAAGAATTAATGAGAAATAAATAAGGCTTAAATGAATTTTTTCTGATCTAATTCAGCTTTTGTTCTCCATAAAGCATATCCACCAACTACAATTATTATGAATAATGTGAAATATGTAATATATGACCAAACAGATGATTTTTCATTGCTTTTTGATTTGTTAGCTTCTTGAAATGATTTTTGTGTCTGATAAAACTGTCCTGCGATACGTGACTAAAAATTAAATTAATTAATCAATTGCTAATTTTCTTACTTTTAAAGAAGTCGAAACTGAAACTTACATCCATTGCTTCAATTTTGCTTGAAATACGTTTTAAATCATCTTTTATTTCTTTGATAGACTGTTCGTAAGAGACAATTGTTATTTTTGAAATTCTAGATTCTATATAATCTAAATTTGATTCAATTCTTTCTAATTTTTGTCTTTAGAAAACCATTATCATAATTAATTAATGTAAAGCAATATATTAAAACATCATAATATAAACATAAATTTTTCTTACGATAATGTGGATGCTAGTTGTTTCCCACCATCATTATAATTATTATTATTAAATCTTCCATCAGGACTTATTAATTCGTGTAATCTATCAAGTGATTCAAGTATTTTTGTTTGCATCCCTCTAATGAAAGCTAAACTTCTCTAAAAAAAAATTATTTGATGATAATTAAATTAATTTATAAATCAAGTTAATCTAATCAATAAATTAATTTTTCATTACATACAATATCTTCTTCTTTGGAGCCTTCTGTTGGATTTACTACCATTTTCTTCACCTCTTCAATACGCTAGTATATTAATAGTAATATAATAAAGATTACTACCATGATAATCATCATCATACCATAATTGTTGCCTAAAATAATAATTTCATATCATATACCCTTTTAAGATCTTCTGGCATTTCATAATTTTCATTATTTCTTTGATTTTCATTTTCATAAGGTCGAAGTGGTCGCTGAAAAATGATTTAATTATTTTTTTTTTTAATAATAATGAAATATAATTTTAATATTAATCTATATTTTAATAGATTATACTAGTAATAAAAGATTTACCGGTGCCTTTTCAGGCGGATTTATTTCAAATGTTTCCATAGATAGTACATCATGATCATCTAAATAAATCATGGTTTATTACTAACTGTAGTCTAAAATATAATAAAGTTCTTTTTTTTAAAAAAAATTTATGAATACCTGGCGTGTCGCCATCGGCCAGTGCCTTAAATTAACAATATTTTATCCAATTAATAAATAAAATATTGCATATGCTTATGCATATGTATATATATATATTGAAGAAATCAGCAAAAAATAATTATAAATAAACTTACAGATACACCAAAATAATTTCCTAAAGGTAATTGAATATTTTTTGCTTCAAAACATAGTTGAGGTTCCTTTTTCCCGTCATCTTTAATATCTACATACACCTTTATAATTTATGACAACAACAAACAACAACAACAACAACAACAACAATAATAATAATCTTTAATAATTGAAGAATATTATTTTTTGTCTCAAATTAACAGATCATAATAATAATAATGAGGAGAAAAAGACTATATAACTATCATAATCTACAACCATCTATAAATGCACATACCTTAAGATTATTGTCAAAATAATAGATTTTAACAAATATTGGTGTTTGTGTATTTCGAAATAATCTATAACATCCGCCAATTGACTTTGCTGCAGGATTAGTAAGATTATTGTACAATACAATTCCATCATTAATATGTCCCATTACAATTGATTTTTCTCGCTATATCAAAATAATATTCAATATAATATTTATGATCAATTATCATATTCATATTCATAATCCTCATCTTAATCTTCCAATTCCCAACCAACCTTTTTTTTAACATCTGCTGTCTCAAACATAATTCCTAATCCATTCCATTGATCTTTACTTCCAAACACCGGGCCTTCTTGCCCTCGATCTTTCGTATACCAAAATGCCATTCCTCTACCTCCCAAAAAATAATTCCCACTAATTCTAAACGATAATTCTATCATCCAATCCTTATACGTATTCGCATATTGCGACCATATTGATCCAGAATGTTTTGGAACACTGGGCGCCAATCGAATAAAATCTGGTGCGAGTAATGCATCTGCTCCCAGATACGTATTATGATAATTATTTAATTAATTGATTGAATAATTTATTATTGAAATTAAAGATATTTCAATTTCCTCCACTTCCCTCCCTCTTCTTAAATAATTTATAAACTTACGTCCATAAGTATCAAAAAATGGTACAGTGTTGTTATAATAGTATGGTTTTTTAAAGGTAAACTTATAGTCATGTCTAAATTTTTGTTCTTTTGGCGTTTCTTCTTCAATTGTATAAACCAATACTGGAAAAGATGGTAATAAAATACATATTAAATATACTATAATTAATATTATGAAATTTATTCTTTTAGAATTAAAGGTCGACATTTTTTTTTTTGTAAGAAATATTTATGATCGATCATTCCAATCAAATATCGACAATTGGCAACTTTATTTGTGACATGATAGATAAAAAATATTTAATTCAAAATTTCAATTAATCATTATTTGTGCATTAAAATTGCATATCTTCTTAAATTTTCAAGAAATCATGATAATAATAATAATATGCCTGCTGCTTTGCCCCCACGCTCATTCTAATAATAACAATGCTTCAAACAAGAATGTTGATTCAATTGGAAAAGATAATAATAATGAATTAAAAGAAACACGAATATTCCCATTATTCATGAACCAACCAATCATCAATAATTTCAGCAATTCCATTCAATGAAAGCCATAAGAATCATAGCACGGTTGTATGGAACATTAAATAACAATAGAACTGTTTTTTAAAGACTATCAGTTTAAAAAATAACTTAGGACCGTTCAAATTTAGAAATCTGTTTAACCATCATTTTTAGAAAAAAAAAAAATTTACGCCAGCGTAGTGGAAATTGTTGTTACACGAAATGTTATACAGAACCTATTGCTCTTTGAAACTTCACCAGTATATAGTATTTACCTCTCTAAATTGGACATTAAGTTCAGATCCAATTCAAATCCAGTTTACCACTTACTTTTTATTGCCAGAATGTTTGCCGTGTATTGTAAAGTTACATTGCACAATATAAAAAATTAGTGTAACATTTCAAATTTCCACTATGCTGCCATTTAGTAGCTCAAAAATCGAACTAACTAGGCCTACTTAAAGTTAATGCCTATGCACCTAACTGATATTTTCGATTCAATGGCTAGTTAACTATTATATAAAATCCAACTAATTACTTCCAAATCTAATTGAATGTAATATCTCCCTTTTACCCGATTCTAGATTGTCATTAAGGATATTTAAGGCTCCGAACGAATCGAATCAAATCAAATTTTAGAGTGATTTGATTTGATTCGATTCGTTTTGTAGTCAATTTGATTCGATTTGATTCGTGACTCGATTCGAATCAATTCGAATCAAACCGGATTCCTAAATTTTTCTTAATGTCATATTAAATACAGTGAATCTCAATGTAGTGTGCCTCAATTTAATGGATAACAACAGATCGAGGATTAATAATAATAACAATATTATTATTATTCTCAATATAACGGATTTCTTGATATAGTCACAACGGATAGACGGGACACATAATAATAAGAAAAATTTTATATGTTTTTAATTATTATTATTATTACAGTCTGATGTGACGAGGTTTGAATATAATAATAACGGATTTTGGAAAACCCAAACTATTTGATAAACCAAGATTGTGTATATTTTAAATTTTTTAATTAATAAAAGGATATTATTTAGTGATGGTAGCCGAAACTATTTTTGAAAGAAAGGTGGTTTCGTCCAATACATATAATAAGTATCTAAATCAATTTACTTTATTTTAAAAACTCCCAATTTCAGCCATTAAAATTAGTTTCGTCAAAGTTTACGCCAATTAATTTCGGTAATTTCGGCAATTTCGGCCACTAAGCGTAGAGTTGAATCAGTTCCAATCAAATTATATATTCGAATCAGTTCAAATCAAATTGAATTGAATCAGTTCGAGTCAAACTACATATATATATAATATTCGAATCAGCTCGAATCGAATCGAATCAGAGTACAATTTGAATTTGATTCGAATCGGTTCGAATTCATTGATTCGTTCGGATATTATGATTATTAGATATTGTAGATACATAATTCATTGGTTTCTTTTATGTTTTTTGCTTCCTATCTATACCAGCAAAATTTTCATTGATTAGCATTATTTCACAATGTGGTTTCCATATTTCTTCTAAAATTTCTTTTTGAAGTTTATTGACAAAATTATAATTTCTTTAGTGTGCATTCTATTATTGAGAAATTTATTGATCGAGTCAGATAAAAATTTTGGAACAATGCCGTTTGATTAAATCAATCGCTGTTAAAGATTCATTATTCTGATTGTTAAACCACAGGTGATCATGTTCCAAACAATTTTTTTTACTCAACTACACAGTGAATCTCGATTTAACGGATAGTTTGGGCAATTAGGGAAAATTTTCCAAAAATCCGTTAAACCGAGATATCCGCTATATCGAGAAGGTTTTTATTAAGGTTTATTATGAAACCGTTCTTTGAGCTTTATCCGTAAAACCGAGATTTTTAATTAGTATCCGCTAAATCGAAATTCACTGTGTAGATCAATACTAAATTTAGACTAGCTCACAATCATCATATCTAAATTTGGCAATAAGAAATAATGGTGTAATTTTTATTTGAAATTTGGCTACATGGCGCAGCAATAGAAGGTCTTTAGACCAAGCCGATTATAAAAGTTTTTTTTACTTAATATAAATGGAAAAAACTCTCTGAAAGGCTATTAATTGAGTGTTTTGAAATACAATCGCGGAACGACTATACACACAGCTTGCTTGGTTATCGAGACTTTACGTTTTAAAGTTTATCTAAATTTCTATTGTTTATAGTAAAATCAACAAAATTGATAACTTTGAACCTTTACAAAAAATTTTTTACTAATATAAATAAAAAAGCTCTCTGATAGACTGTTAATTGAGTGTTTGATTATTCCCACGACCTGCTTGGTTATTGAGCCTTTAGATTTTAAAGTTTATCTAAATCTTCAATGATTTTGATGTGTAACATTAAAAATCCGCACATAATAATTTTCTATATTGACCTACACCGCAGAGCAACCTTTCACAGTACACCTTCACTCTGCTTTCTCTTCTTAATGTTTATTATTTTTCTTTCTTCTTGGTAAATTTCATGGGTAATCCTTTCTTTTCTTAGATAAATTTCAAGTGCCCTGATCATCATTTATTTTGAAAATGTAAGGAGCAATTTTTTCACCTTGTTCCTTTTTCAAAATACTTCTAATGGTGTTGTGATTCTTGGGTTCCATAGTAGATCTGATGTAAATGAGTTCCATATTATTGTTTTAATATAAGTAGTTTTATATATCACTTAACAAATGGGATATTATAAACTAATTGTGATGATAGTAACTAAATTTTGATCCCTGAAATTATTAGTAATACCAATGTTTGTGTTTTGTTGCAGTGTCCCGTATATACATTTTAGACAATTTAGACGCATACCTGATACTAACGCTAATACGAATACTACTCTCTTTTTTTACATTATTGTACTAGCTCTGATTATAGTTTATTCTTCACGCGTAATGAATATTATTTATTAACGCATAAATATTTAACAATGAAATGCTCGATCAATATTTTTGATAAATACTATTTCTTCAACTTTAAAAGCATAAAAGGTCTATTTTATGAAATAAATTTTATTATAATAAAAAATCACGCATTCCATCTTATATTATTATTATTATTATTATTATTATTATAGAAGTGTGGCGTATTCAGGGTCCTCTTTTATACCCGGTTTTTGCTAGAAAACCTCTTTACTAATTAATCAATTAGCAGTATGCTATATACATTAAAATTGCCATTTCTGGTTCTTTTCTTAATATTAACAAAACAACAGAAAATCTATACTGAAATTGTAAAAAAAATATTACGCATCATATTTGATTGATATAAAAAAAAAATTTTGATATCTCACTTTTATAATCTTTGAATTTTTTTTAAAAAAAAAAATTATGAATAATTATAACGTATATCAGCTTTTTAACGCTACATATAATCCTGACCCTAATATACAAAAACAAGCAGAATTACAATTAAAACAGGTCTTTTACATATATAGTTATTTGGTTTTTTTTTCAAAAAAAATTTTGTTAATTATATATTTTTTTTTGTGATAAAGATTGAAGGTACACCAGGATTTATAACTAACCTTCTTCAAATATTAAGTGCACAAGAATTAGATAATGGAACAAAGCAAGCTGGTAACTATTATTATCGTTACCATTAATCATATTAATCAGAATATTAGTATTAAATTCAATACGAAAGCATATTCTCATTTTTATAAAATATAAAAAAAATTTTCAAGTTTCAATCTATTTAAAAAATCGGATCAGAACATCATGGTATATTGATGAAGAAGAACAAATACCATCAAATGTTGTTGCTATTGATTTACAAGATCGTGAAGCCTTCAAAGCAAACATATTAAATATTTTGGTAACAGTTCCCAGCATTATAAGGTAAAAAATTCTTTTGTGATTTTTCAATTTTATTTATAATTTAAATCCATATTTAATAAAAAAATTTCTTAATTCAGAGTACAAGTTCTTGATTCTTTAAGAAGGGTTCTTGGTGTTGATTTTCCAGAAAAATGGCCAAATTATATGGATCAAGTAATTACTTTGTTAACATCAAACGATTTGAAAATTTCATATATTGGATTATTAGGTTTACAGCAAGTAGTTAAAGTTTATCAGTAAGTAGTATATTATTATTAATTAAAAATTTTTTTGATTGGAGGGAATTAATAATATTTTTAAAAAAAAAAAAAATTGTATTTTTAAAAGATGGAGATCTCCTGATGTTAAAGATCCATTAATTGAAATCATTCAAAAATCTTTTCCAATTTTACTACAAATTGCTGAAATTATTATAAATGAAACAAATGTTGATGCAGGTGAAATGATGAAAATTATAGTGAAAACGTTTGGCTCTTCAATTCATGTAAGAGAGTGTTTTCTTAATGGAAATTTTCTAAATGAAAAAAAGATTTTCTTATCATTAACAATAAAAATAAAAATAAAATGTCAATATTAGTATGAACTACCAAAACCTCTTCAAGATAGTACATTTATTGGACATTGGTTAGGCCTATTGTTGAAATTGGTTGATAAGCAAATACCGCAAGAATTGATTCCACAATATGATGATGTTGAAGAAAGACGAAATTTTATATGGTACAGAGTTCAAAAATGGTCATGTCATGTTCTTGATAGGCTTTTTTCAAGATATGGTAATCCTGCACAATTATCATCTTCGCCTACAAAAAATATGACTTTTGCTGAAACTTTTGTACAAAACTTTGCTCCTCAAATATTATATAAATACTTGGAAAAAACCAATCTTTGGATGAAAAAGGAAATTTGGTTAAGTCCAAAAGTGTTATATTACATTTCTAGTTTTTATAAAGAATCGTAAGTAAAAATTGATATATTTTTTTTGTATTTATATTTATATTAAGTTAATTAAAAAAATCTTTTTTCAAAGTATAACACATAAAATTACATGGAAGATTCTTAAACCTCATTGTGAAATATTAGTTTCTCATTACATATTTCCTCAATTATGTTTTACTGATGAGGATGAACAATTATGGAGTGAGGATCCAATTGATTTTATTCATAAAAAACTTGATCCATTAGATGACTATTTATCACCAACTTCTTCTGCCATATCATTTCTGGGAAGTTTAGCTAGACACAGAAAGAAATTCACATTCACAAATATCTTAAACTTCATAAATAGCATTTTAACTACTTATCAAGAATCACCACCTGAAACAAAAAATCCAAAAAATAAAGATGGCGCTTTAAAAATGATTGGATGCTTGTCGGATTTGGCTTTACATCGAAAATCTGGCGTTGCTAATATAATGGAAGCATTTTTTATTCATCATGTTTTTCCTGAATTTCAAAGTCAACATCCTTACTTAAGAGCAAGGGTACGTTTTTGTGTATGCGTGTATATATATATAATATGTATTATTTTATATTAATTATAATTATATGCTTTATTCTTTTGAAATTTGCAAAGGTAGGCTTGTGATATGATTATGAAATTTAATGAGCTTGAATTTCAACAAGAAGCAAATATCATGACTGCTTTTCAAGGAATTACGATTTGTATGCAAGATCCTGAACTCCCTGTTAAAATTCAAGCTTGCTTAGCTTTGGAACCTTTATTAAAATATGAGTCAGGTATATTGATTTTAAAATATAAAAATGAATTTATATGAATACTGTCAATAAATAAATAATTCATTTTATTTTTTATTTTGATATTGTAGTGAAAAAAGTGCTTGTTCCTAATTTACCAGCAATAATGCAAAGTAATTTTAGTAAAAAATTTTTGTGGTGATTTACAACAAATATATTTTTATCTCTATGTTCATCTATATTTTCTATATTTTTACACAACATATGTGCATAAACATTAGAGCTTCTTGAACTTACAAATATGATTGATTCTGACATTTTGGCAACTTTAATGAAAGAACTTGTTGAGGAATTTTCAAGTGAATTAAATCCATTTGCTACAGAATTTTGTCAACAATTGGTAATTATTTGTTCAATTTATTAATTAATTTATTATTAGTATATTATATTAGAGATTACTACTAAAATGTATCTAATTGAATTATAGTGTGCCACTTTTCTTCGCATCATGCATGATTACAAAGAAATTCCTTCCACCAATGACAACATTGACGATAGTAGTCTTGATGATGCAGAGATGAATGAGAAAATTTTGACAGCTTCAGGTATTATTAGAACGGTAGTTACGCTGATTGTAAATTTAGATACTACACCTGAAGTTTTAATTCAAATGGAGTCTAGTATAATGCCTATAGTTATATTTGTTTTAGAAAATGAAGTTATTGGTAATTTCCCAATTAATTTACTTGATTCAATATATACATATTTTATATAAATATATTTATATGTATCTATATTATTTCACTCATTAGAATTATATGAAGAGGTTTTGGATATCATAGATAGCTTGACATTTTCTATTAAGCAAATTTCTCCTGCAATGTGGAATATTTTTGAATTATTATATAGAACATTTAAAAAATCGGGGGTTGATTATATTGAATGCAAGTGTTTAAAAAAAATTGCTTTTAAATTACTTGTATTGTTTTTATATTTATAGTATGTAAAAATTTTTTTTTTAGCAATGTTACCATCTTTGGATAATTATATTTCTTATGGGACAGAAGTATTTATGCAAAATTCCAATTTTCATGTCATGATATATGATATGATTGACACAGTAAGATTATGATTGTGATTATAATTATGTTGATCAATTAATTATAAATGTTATTAATTGCGCTAATATCATGTGTTAGGTAATGAAAAGTGAAAATTTATCAGAAACTGATCGAGTTGCTGCTTGCAAGCTTGCAGAATCATTTTTATTGAATTGTAGTGGTATTATAGATCAGGTAGATATTTTTACATGTATATGTGTTTATTTATTAATCATGTGTGTTGATAATTTGTTCTCTTTTTTCACCTTCACTTTGTCACTCTCATTTTATAGTATATTGAACCAATCCTTGGACTTGTATTTAAATATTTAGCCGATATCGAAAATATTGAAACTTCAAGTTTTAAATTTTATTGTGTTGAATTAGTAAGTCTTTTACTTTTTACCTTACATAATTCTCTCATCTTTTAAATTAATTAGTTAATCTCATCACTATTTTTAGGTGATTGATTGTTTATATTATAATCCATTATTAACTTTACGTATTCTGGAAGAACGTAGTTTAACGCAATCATTTTTCACATTATGGTTTAAAGATTTAAGTCATTTTTCACGTGTACATGATAAAAAACTGGTTATAGCCACAATATGTCGATTTTTTGAAATACCAATAGAGCAATTACCTGCCACTTTACAAAATGGTTGGTCACAGTTACTTGATGGTGTTTTGGAAATGTTCAAGTCTTTTCCTGAGGCTGAAGAAAGTTAGTAATAATAATAATTATAATTATAGTATTATTATTATTTTAAATAGCCTTCTTTAATTTGAAACTTTTTTTTTGATTGTAAATGATCAGACAGAGAAATTCTAAAGAAATTTTATGAAAATGGTTTTGATAGTGATGATTTGGATGATGATGACGACGATGACGATGGATCTATAGATTTAGAAACTAAAGATAATGATGGTGATGATGGCTATGAAACAGTTGATGGTAAGTATTTTTTTAGAAGAAAAATTATTTCCTTCTTGGATAAAAAAAAGATGTCAATTCATTAATTTGTTCGTTAATAGATGATGAAAATATAGAAGACGAAGATAAAGAATATTTAGATTTCTTGTCATCAGAGGTAGAGAAAAAAGATTTAAAAGAATTTTATTTTTCGAATATCCATAAATTTTATATATTAATTAATTTTCTTTACAGGCCAAGAAAAAATCTCTGAGTGATTTAAAAGATGAAGATGACGAATATGACGATGATGATGATTCAATAGAAGAAATTTTATTTGAATCACCTTTAGAAAAGCTTGATGTTTATATAAAATTTCAAGAAGTATTTTTCGGTAATGAATAATATCAATAATAATAATAATATTATTATTTTTTAAAAAAAAACGCAAATTTTTATTTTATTTTGTTTTATTTTATATAGGTATGCAACAATATTATCCTAATTCTTATGAATTACTTGCAAAAAATCTTGATTCGGAAAAAGAAAATTTTATTAGATCTATATTTTCTATTGCCGAACAACGAAAAGCTGAACTCGCAAAAGCTCAACTTGTAAAATAATTAATTGATTTGGTTTTAATTTTTTTCAGGATTTATATTTTTTGTTTTATACATTAATATTCCAATGTTTAAAAAGCCTTGCTAACATAATAATTATTAAATTTATTTTATAATCATATTATTGATATTTAAACAAATCTAGCACTTTTAAGAAGCACATAATAATTAGATAAATAATAATAATAGATAAATCGCATTTTTATAAACTTTCAAGTATTTAAAAGTTTTCGTTGCATCTTCAGCTATCAAAACCATCACATTTTTGGCTATACTTGTCTTATTTTACTGATTTTGTTAATAGTTGTTTTTGTTTTTGTGAGTGAATTAGATTTCATAAAGATCTAAGTTATTTACTAGGAAACAATTTCCACTCCAGAATGTAAAACACAAGGCCTAACCTTACCTAGCATAACTGTTTCTGTGATGAAAATATTTTATATAGGCCTGCAAAAAGTTAACTAAACTGAATTGTTCTCGTAACTTTCAATTAACTAACTTAGATCTTAGTCAAAATTTGGAGTTAGAAGAATTAATTTGCATTCACAATGGATTTACCAGTTTAGCCTTTCTTAAACTATTGACTAAGTTAGAACATCTTGATATTAGAGGCAATAACACCACTAATTGCTTTACTGTAAAGAGATAACAGCAATTGTCTAAAAATAATAATGATACTTTAAAATGTTCTACGTAATTCACTACCTACAATTCAAATCATCCTTCCTACCTTCCTTGTTTCCACTAAACTTAAATTTGGTTTTGTTTATGGTTTTTTTTACGAGCTCTATTGAATTAATTATTTCACTATAAAGAAAAAAAAGAAGGAAAGTCCAGTTGACAAAAAATATGGTTGTTAAATATTATTAATATTATTATAAAAATGAGGTTACTTGGTTAAAATTAGTCAAACTCGAACCTAAACTCAAACACTATGGACTATCATCACTCAGGGTGCTTAAATTGTTTTTAATGCAAGCAAATCAAGCAAGAAGGAAAGATTTATTTCAAACCAAAAATATTGACTGTATGTTACAAATAAAATTGTTACAAATAAAATTCGAGAAATAATAATAATGATGATGATGATGAAAAGTATGAACAACAACTACATTTTACAAAATTTTCGTTCTATCCACGTTCATCATCTTGTAAAAGATACAAATGTGAAATTTTTAAAAGCATTGTCAAAGAGCACGATAGGATGAACGGCAAAACAATGCCTAAACGTTATTATTTTTAATTAATCTTTTGCCAAATTATATATTTTATCCAATAAGAAATGCAAAACTACCCAACAGTCAAACATTGGTACTGATTTGTCAACATCATTATTTTTTAAAAGAAAGATTAAAACGCGAGGCTTATTTAAAGGTGTTAGTATTTATACGACGGGTATTCTAGGTGATATATTAGCTCACTTCTCAACCTATGATGCTTCAAGAGAACATGTTAATAAAGGTAATGCAAAAGGTATTGGTCTCTCGTGTCTTGAAGACCGTAGTCAAACAACGATCAATGCTTTCTTAGGAACATCAAGTGATGTAATTAACTCTAGTTTATGGTATCAGTTGATGTTATATCATGACAATTTCAAATTTCTAAGGCATCTTCGTCACCGTCGCCTTGTAATTCCCGGTGGAGAATTATCTTCATTGAATTATAATAATAATAACAACACCTGCATCGACATCATCTACCAAAACAGCATTAATTGAATTGTCTTAAAAAAAATTTCATTGCACGTTTAAAATCTGAAGGTGCACCAATTTATCGATTTCTATATCTTAGCTGGACTGCAGCACTACTTTGACACCATTTCATTTTTTCCCGTCTATTTTTTTGTTTACACTAAAAAATATTTACCAACATCGTATTTTTTACTATCTGTAACGTCAGGCAGGAGTTGTAGCATGAACAATGGCAATCTTTTACGTCGGTACTGTCAAAGCAAAAATTACGCATAGCTAGAAAATTTGAACCAGTTGATTGTTGCGAAACGAATAATCAAAACTGAAAGGGCTGTGTGTTGGTATGCCGGCTAAATTATGGATTGTAATACCGTTTGGAAGTTTGAATTTCTGGGTGGAAATTTGAAAAAGTTAAAGAGTGAAGTACCGTAGAGGTTGCTGCTAATCCAGATGAAAAAGTTGAAAAGCTTTATTTAATTTTTTTTATATTACAATATCATACACAAGTATTGCTTTATTATTTTTATTTTTCATTTGATTAAAAAAAAAAAACAATAATAAAAGAATTGTTAATTAAATTTTATATCAGTCATTTTTATTCTTGCAACAAATAAACCCCACCATTCATTGTTACGTACGCTAAATCTGGAAAAGAAAATCAAAGAATTCATTGAAGATTCAGTGTCTTGTGGCTAATTGTGGCACATACTACCACAATTAAAATGACAAACAGAGAGTTCAATCCCCTTTCTAGATGTGTCAAGTGTCTCTCTATTGTAAGTGCTCATGTTGCAAAAATGTTCCTAATATTTACGGGTAGCATTAACGTGTCGAATTTTTGATTATCAAAACATCTCGCAACTTTTTTGTCTGAATTTACTGATACAAATAGGAATCTGTGCCTAGCCCAAATACTCTGCAAAGAGTGAATATCAATTTCATTTTTTCTATTTATTATTATAATTATAATAATAGTATTGTAAATTTTATGCGAGAATCAAGATGTGAAGTTCCAAAGCGATTGAAAAAGAATCCAAAAAGGAATTGAGGAAAAGCCAATTAATCCAAAACTAGTACACAAGATCTAATTATGACATTAAAAAAAGATAAAGCATAAATATAGTGTTGCGACCCGTTAAGACCTTATCCAGTAGTTAACGGATTATCGGGTTGTAACGGGTTAACGTTAAGAAATAATAATAATAATTAGTAATTTTGTTTCAACGGATCATATCCGCAAAGTTACACGATTTTTGATCATTTTGAGGGTAAATTTTTGAAATTTTGGGGATATTTTTTGTAATATTTTGACTGTTTTGAATAAATATTCCCCCTATTTTGTATATTTTGTACCCCTTTAACGTTCTTTTCAGAAATTCTCTAATACCAAACCAATCACTTTTCATAGTAAACCAATCACTTTTTTTTTATATACTGAATTCAGGATCACAAGTAATTAGTTGAACAAAATCTGGTTTTGTAATCTGTTAAAGCTTTTTTATAATAATTTTTTTTACTTTTCTTTA